TAACATACCATATATTGATCAACAGGTAATTTTCCTGCCATAAGTGATGATCTGGTAAACTCTTACCATCTGCTTTTGTGTTGCTTGGATCTCCTTTACTCAAATGCACTGTATGCAAAGAATTGCCGGGAACTACTGAATCCAAAATTTGAAGGTACAACCTCTCAATTCATGTCTTATCAATTAATTCCAAAATTAATGATGGTGTGAAAACCAGGATTGAAATTATTTTATATTTTTGAAATCCATTGCATAGGCCTGCCTCAGGATTTTGGAAACAGAGACTTCAAGGTACCAACTGATGTGCCTTGTATTGTTGAACGATTGTGCAACAGACATCAAGGTACCATAACATTGCATTTTTTTTCTTGTTTGACTGTGTTGTTTTATTTTACTCCAGCTCGAGTATGGATTCTTCACTCTTCGTATTGTGAAATACACAACAGGCCAGTGGGAGTTATGTTGGATAAGTGATGATAAGTAGGATGGATTAAGGTCAATGTCATATGTTTTTGATCAGGTTAAATCCATGTAATAGGCCTTTTTAAAGTTCTTAAAATCATCACCTTCAAAGGAGTCCAAATAAAGCAAAACTTTTTTCATGAAAATGAGTTCTTCTCTATAGGAAAATTAAAATGTCCTGTAGATATTAAAGGTCTCATGTGTACCCTTGTTTTAAAGCAGTGATTATATACAGCATCTCTAAAATAGCTCTCTTCTCGGTTTCCATCTTATGTCTTAATTAAACCAGAGGAAGCAAATTGCGATGGTGATGCATCAAGAATGCATATGTGAGACCTGAGATTGGACTCCAATTAATGAGCTTATTCTTTTCTCTTTCCTTATCTCTTTCTTGAGTCTTAATTTTTTCCCCTCTGCTTCCTTTTGTCATTTCGCCACATCCAAACGCTTTGATTTTGAAGTTCTGACACGTAATTCTTTCTTTTGACCTTACCGTTGGTATTTCATTCTCAATAAGCAAAGATTATTTTTGTGTTGGAGACTTAACTCCCTTTAAATGTTCTAATATCAGCCTGCCTCTAGTGATCCAAGGTCACCTACTGCTCATGATTGTAGTTCATCTTTT